CTTTAGCATTCCAATCCCCTATGATGAAAAGGACATCTTTTTTTTGGTGCTAGTTCTAGAAATCCAATGTTACAGCTTTACTAAAAAAAAAAAAAAAAAATACCTAATACTAATTACCAATAATTCACCAATGGATGTTTACAAAACAAATAATGTAGGGAAAAGGAAAGAATCACCTGTAGGAGGTTAATGGTATGTTAAATTCATCATCTGGTAGTGCTACTCCTAAACATTTTCCATCTTCAAATATACTCAGAGGAATTGAAAAATGATTCTTTATCTATATAGAAAAATAAAAATATGTGTCAATTGGTTTGACCAAAAGTAGCTCTATGTCACAATTTCATTATGGATGCTAACTAAATATCTACTCTGTGGAATACAGTAAAATTTAACTTTTAGGAATTTAGGAAGATAAGATATCCATTTTAAAAATACCTTTCTAAAATGTATTATAATTATTATGATACACATAGGAAACAAAACAATTAATTTTCCCAAACCTAAGACTGTTTAGATCTATAAATAAAACAATCCCCAAATAATTAAAATAGTTGAGAGATAATATGGAATATGTCATATCCATTGATCAGTAAACTTTAAAGGAAAATATCTCACCTGTATTGGAGAATGTACAGTTATTATCTTGCTCCCTTCAACAGTATCAATTTGACAAACAATAGACCTTACAACACCTGAGTCGTTATGTCTAACTCTATACAGGCTCCGTCCAACTTTCGTCAATGGGATCTTGTCAGTAGTGGAGTGATTCTGAGGAGCTAAAAAATGAAGGCAAAAACATTATTAGAAATGAAGCCACATAGATCTCTGTGTGACTATGAGACGGATGGAGGGAGAAAAAAACAAAAAATCAAGTTTAGTATTTTTAATACTTATCCTATACCTGCACGTTTGATCCAGTTCTATTAGCATGAATCCTATCCTTGTTACACAAAGATTAATTATATTCCTATTCCTATATTTATCTGAGTATGTATAGTTTAAATCAGATCAGGAGCATGTGCACCTCTATATAGCGAGAAAGGCAGGAAGGCTGTTTGCCCACAGTCTATAAGAATCCCATCCCACTGACCAAAAGCACTGTCCAACAGTCTGCCAATTTTGAGTATTTACTGCTGGGCTCAGCTTGCTGTCACATTATAGGGATACTATGAGTGTATTGTCCACCCTACTGCACAATAGTCTCTTCCTGAGATAGCTGGGGATAGTGTCTGGCATGGCTGTTGACTACTGTGTACTGTTTTCCTAGGAGATTTGAATATCCACACTGAGATTACCCAATCAAAAGTGATTCAGAATTTCATGTCTGCTATTATGACCACTGACCTGTCCCAGTATCCCTGTATCTTAGCAGGCACGTGCTGAATTTGGTATTCTGACTAGAATTGGCCATTTGAGAAAGTGCTAGTCTTGCAGCTCCATATTCATTTGGATGAAATGGATTATTCGGATACATTTCAATTGGGATTGGGTACTGAGTGTTTAGGTTGTCTTGATGCTCTCGATTACCTATGCTAGAAACTAGATGGGAGGACTGCAATCCTGCTAATTGTCCAGGACCTCTCAGTGGCTTCTGATACCATCAGCCATGATACCCATCTGCTAGGTTTGGGCATTGGGGCATAGTTTTATGGTGCTTCCAGGCATTTCTATTGGGATGTGTTACAGGTGGTGTTGAAGGACCACTGTTTTGACACCTGGACTGCTGATATATTTTGTTGATTTTCTTATTCTTGTTGTACAGGATGTCTTGTTCCCTATATTATTTAATACCTATATAAAACCACTGGGGGGGAGGTCATTTAGAGCTCTGCAGTGTAGTATGCTGCTGGCACCTAGCTCTGTTTCTCTGGAAGTATATGGTAGGAAGCAGCAATCAGTATCCTTGAATGTTGCCTAATCTTGATAATGTACTTGATGAGGAAGAACAAACTGAAATTAAGTCCAGAAAAAATAGGTACTTTAGGTTAGGAGAATCAAGTCTTGGGAATTGAAGTAAAGCTTGTTTTAGTTATGGTTGCACTCCCTCAGACAGAAGAAGTTTGCAATTTAGGTGTGCTCCTTGACCCCATTTGCAGAGAGTGGCTGCACAAGGAACATGTTGCCTCAACTACAGATGCTGTGCTAACTGTGGCTTTTTCCAGGTTTGTCATGCTTGATGACAATTATCCACCTAGGGCATACATACAAAAAAGGAAATTCATGGCTTGAAAGCACTACACTGGAGAAAAATTGGATGCAGTCACTGACAATCTGCTGAATATGAGCAGCAGTGTAAGACAGCTATTAGAAGGGCTAATAGAGTTCTGAGTTGCATTAGAAGCAGCCCTGTATCAAAGACATCTGAAGTCCTTATTCCCCTCTATCCTGCACTATTGAGAACACTTCTGGAGTTTGTGCATAATTCTAGGCACTAGATTTCTGGAAGAATCTTAACAGGTCTAGAGGAGGGTGATGATGATACAGGAGCTTGAAGACATGTCCTGTGAGGATTGGGTGAACGTATTTGGGATGTTCAGACTGAAGAAAAGATTGAATGGAAACTTATCAGTGTTCAGGAATACAAAAAATTCCATAGGAAGATGTCCAACAACTGTTTTCCACAGCCATAGAAGCTAGACCAGAAATAATGGATAAATTTGCAATTACCTAGTTTTCACTTAATTATGAAGAAAAATTTCCATCTAGAAGTTTTTGAGACTGGAGAGGCATCTCTTAAAAATTAATTGGTTTGCTGCACTCTGTAGAGGGTTGGATTAGATGATCCTCATGACCCCTTCCTTTTTATGATTCTACATCTTGGTTATAATTTGTCCTAACTATTTCAATGTGTTGTACTAGTGCTGCCCTTGGAAAAGATCCAGAAATTGCAATTGGTGTAAGACTGCTAACTTATGCAAGGGACAGGAACAATATGATACTTATACTGAAAGACCAGCATTGGTTGTCTATTCTCTACTGGAACACTTTTAAGTGCTGGTACTCACATTTAAAGCTATAAATGGCTTAGGTCCTTATTCTCTGAAGGGCAGCCTTTCCCACTATTAGCATACTTGGTTACTGAGATCAGCAACAGAGCTCCTTTTAAAGAGGCTCCACTACTGGAAGCTTAACTATTTGTTACACAGGAGAAAACCTTCTCCTGTGTGGCTCCCAGGCTCTTAAGGAGGTGTATTTGAATCCCAGTCTCCTAGTATTCAGGAAAACGAGGAGGAAAAATCCCTTTCATCAAGCTTTTAAGGGTAGATTGATTTTAATTATATTGATTTTAATTTTTGTTTCAATTGTACTGATTTAAATAATACATGCTATGTTTTATTTTATGGTTATAAGCAACCTTGACTGCATGCCTAAGCAGAAAGATAGAGTATAAATTTAATAACAAATAGAATAAAAATAAAAGAACATAAATTAATTGCATATACAGATAGTCCTTGCCTAATGACCACAACTAGAACTGGAACTTCCATCGCTAAGCAATGTGGTCATTAGGCAAAACATCACATGACTGCATAGCTTAACAACTGCAATCCTGGCAGTCCTAGTTGCCATCATTAAGTGAATGCCCTGGTCATTAGGCAACTTCCTGGCCCCCTCTCCCACTGGGGGGGGAGGGCAGGGGGGGTTGAGCGGCCGGGGGGGGGGGGGGGGGGGGGGGGGGGGGGGGGGGG